TTGATTTAATACTCTCTATGTGTCTGTTAATAGAAGAGGGAGGGGGTGGAGGGAGGGTGGTGTGAGGAGGAAGGGACTGAGAGAGAGTGGGTATGAGGGAAGAGGGTGAGATGGTGGGTGGTGGAGGAGTAGGATAAGGAGGGTGGGTAGGAGGGAGAGGGTGGTGCGGAGGGTGGGTGGTGGGGAGGGAGGTTGGTTATGAGAGAGAGGGGAGAGGAAGAGTGGGTGATGAGGGATGGTGGGTGGTGAGGGAGAGGATAAGGAGGGTGGGTTATGAGGGAGAGGGTGGTGCGGGAGGGTGGGTGAGAGAGGGAGCAGAGGATGGGTGGTGAGTGAGGGTGGGTTATGAGGAAGAGTGGGATGAGGGATGGTGGGTGGGAGGGAGGGAGAGAGAGGCAGGAGGATGGTGGGTGGTGAGGGGGGTGTTTTGAGGAAGAGGGTTATGAGGGATGGTGGGTGGTGGGTGAGGGTGGGTTATGAGGAAGTGTGGGTGATGATGGATGGTGGGTGAGGGGAGGGGATGAGGAAGAATGGGTGATGAGGGGATGGTGGTGAGGGAGTAGGATAAGGAGGGTGGGTTATGAGGGAGAGTGGTGGTGGGAGGGTGGGTTATGAGGAGAGGGTTAAGGGATGGTGGGTGGTGAGGAGGGTGGGTTATGAGGAAGAGGGTGATGAGGATGGTGGGTGAGGAGGGTGGGTTATGAGAGAGAGGGGTTATGAGGGAGAGGGTGTGAGGGAGGGTGGGTTTGAGGAAGAGTGGGTGATGAGGGATGGGGTGTGAGGGAGGTGGGTATGAGGAAGAGTGGGGTGATGAGGGATGGTGGGTTATGAGGATGGTGGGTGGTGAGTGAGGGTGGGTTATGAGGGAAGTGTGGGTGATGATGGATGGTGGGTAGAGGGTGGGTTATGAGGAAGAATGGGTGATGAGGATGGTGGGTTGTGAGGGAGGTGGGTTATGTGGGAAGGAGGGGTGATGAGGGATGGTGGGTGGAGGGGAGGTGGGTTATGAGAAGAGGGTGGATGAGGGATGGTGGGTCGAGGGAGGGTGGGGAGGGAGAGTGGGTGATGAGGGATGGTGGGTGGGTGAGGGAGGATGGGTAGGAGGGATGGTGGTGGGTGAGGGAGGGTGGGTTATGAGAGAGAGGGGTGATGAGGGATGGTGGTGGTGAGGGAGGGTGGGTTATGAGGAAGAGGGTGATGAGGGGATGGTGGGTGGTGGGAGGGTGGGTTATGGAGGGATGGTGTGTGAGGGAGGGTGGGTTATGAGAGAGTGGGGTGATGAGGGATGGTGGGTGGTGTGAGGGAGGGTTAGGGTGAGAGAGGGTGATGAGGGATGGTGGGTGGGGAGGGAGGGTGGGTTATGAGGAAGAGGGTATTGAGGGAGGGTGGGTTATGAGGAAGAGTGGGTATTGAGGGAGGGTGGGTAGAGAGAGATTGGGTGGTGAGGGAGGGTGGGTGGTGAGGGAGGGTGGGTTATGAGGAAGAGTGGGTATTGAGGGAGCGTGGGTGGTGAGGGAGGGTGGGTAGTGAAGGAGGGTCGTTGATGAGTGTGGTGGGTGAGTCAGCTGCCTCGCGTGACGCCCACCTTTCTGCACACACTAATGTAAACCTCCCCCAAACTGCCTATGGTAATTATTTCCTGCTGCCCACCCACCCACTGCCTAGTCACTCTCTAGTTATCCTCCTCCCACCACTTACCTCCACATTTACCATCCTACACTCCCCTCTCCAGCCTATACCCCCACCGTCACCCCCACCCCCCGTCCCTCACTCGCGGTAATGAGGTGGTCAGGTGAGGCACGGTGCTGTGTGAGTGAGGGTCGAGTGTGTTGATATGTTTAATTGCTTATGTTTCTGGTGGACGAATAATAATAATGATAGTAATTATAATAATAATACTGATGATGATAATAATAATAATAATAATAATAATAATAATAATAATAATAATAATAATAATAATAATAATAATAATAATAATAATAATAATAATAATAATAATAATAATAATACCATACAGTAATTATTAGTTCAGGTGTGTATTACAGGATTAACGTTGATGCGATTTTCATGTTGTATACAGGAAAATACATGTTAACTGTTGATAAAGAGAAGAAAATTAATTATTTTTAACTCTAGTGATACTATTATTATTATTATTATTATTATTATTATTATTATTATTATTATTATATTCTACTGTTGGATTATTATTAATATAGCCTGGTATTATCAGGTTGGAATTATAGTTATTATGTGTTAAAGCGATACCGTGACCCCTGGCTGAGTCGTAACCGGTTTCTGTATACAAATTCGATCAGGTCAACGGGTAACAACTGGTCTCATTGTTGATGTCATGTTGAAAATATTAACACGTTAACCAAATTGCTGTTAACAGTTTCATTATCGGTTAGGTCAGGTCAGGTTAGGTGAGGTTAGGCTAGGTTAGGTTAGGATAAGTAAGCTTAGATTATTATTAGGTTGATTCTCAGTAGATTTAACTCTTCATCACTGAGTTTAATTCGTTAATGGATTTTAGATGAGGTGAACACGGGTAAAAAAGGTAGTTTTACCCCTCTCAGGCTGCCTCTCTCCTGTACACCTGGCCTGCCTCTCTCCTGTACACCTGGCCTGCCTCTCTCCTGTACACCTGGCCTGCCTCTCTCCTGTACACCTGGCCTGCCTCTCTCCTGCTACAACCTGGCCTGCCTCTCTCCTGCACACCTGGCCTGCCTCTCTCCTGTACACCTGGCCTGCCTCTCTCCTGTACACCTGGCCTGCCTCTCCTGTACACCTGGCCTGCCTCTCTCCTGTGCACCTGGCCTGCCTCTCTCCTGTACACCTGGCCTGCCTCTCTCCCTCTACACCTGGCCTGCCTTTCTCCTCCCCTGGCCTGCCTCTCTCCTCTACACCTGGCCTGCCTCTCTCTCTACACCTGGCCTGCCTTTCTCCTCTACTCCTGGCCTGCCTCTCTCCTCTACACCTGGCCTTCCTCTCTCCTCTACACCTGGCCTTCCTCTCTCCTCTACTCCTGACCTGCCTCTCTCCCTACCCTTCCTCTCTCCCTCCCCTGGCCTTCCCTCTCTCCCACCTGGCCTGCCTCTCTCCTCTACTCCTGGCCTGCCTCTCTCCTTTACACCTGGCCTGCCTCTCTCCTCTACTCCTGGCCTGCCTCTCTCCTTTACTCCTGGCCTGCCTCTCTCCCTCTCTACTCCTGGCCTGCCTCTCTCCCTCTACACCTGGCCTGCCTCTCTCCTCTACACCTGGCCTTCCTCTCTCCTCTACACCTGGCCTGCCTCTCTCTCTACTCCTGGCCTGCCTCTCTCCTTTACACCTGGCCTGCCTCTCTCCTCTACACCTGGCCTGCCTCTCTCCTCTACACCTGGCCTTCCTCTCTCCTCTACTCCTGACCTGCCTCTCTCCTCTCTCCTCCTGCCTCTCTCTCTACTCCTGGCCTGCCTCTCTCCTGGCCTGCCTCTCATTTACTCCTGGCCTTCCTCTCTCCTCTACTCTGACCTGCCTCTCTCCTCTACACCTGGCCTGCCTCTTTCCCTCCTGGCCTGCCTCTCTCCTGTGCTCCTGGCCTGCCTCTCTCTGTGCTCCTGGCCTGCCTCTCTCCTCTACAGCTGGCCTGCCTCTCCTCTACACCTGGCCTGCCTCTCTCCTCTACACCTGGCCTGCCTCTCTCCTCTACTCCTGGCCTTCCTCTCTCCTCTACTCTGACCTGCCTCTCTCTCTCTCTCCTGGCCTGCCTCTCTCCTCTACTCCTGGCCTGCCTCTCTCCCCTCTCTCCCTGGCCTCCTGCCTCTCCTCTCCCTCACCTGGCCTGCCTCTCTCTTCTACACCCTGGCCTGCCTCTCTCCTCTCACCTGGCCTGCCTATCTCCTCTACACCTGGCCTGCCTCTTTCCATACTCCTAGCCTGCCTCTCTCTCCTGTACTCCTGGCCTGCCTCTCTCCTCTCTCTGGCTCCTCTCTCCTCTACAGCTGGCCTGCCTCTCCTCTACACCTGGCCTGCCTCTCTCCTCTACACCTGGCCTGCTGCTCTCACCTGGCCTGCCTCTCTCTTCTACACCTGACCTGCCCTTTTCTCCTCCTCTCCTGGCCTGCCTCTCTCCTCTACTCCTGGCCTGCCTCTCTCCTCTACTCCTGGCCTGCCTCTCTCCTCTACACCTGGCCTGCCTCTTTCTTCCACACCTGGCCTGCCTCTCTCTTCTACACCTGGCCTGCCTCTCTCCTCTACACCTGGCCTGCCTCTCCTTCTACACCTGGCCTGCCTCTCTTCTACACCTGCCTGCCTCTTCCTTCTACACCTGGCCTGCCTCTCTCCTCTACACCTGGCCTGCCTCTCTCCTCTACACCTGGCCTGCCTCTCTCTTCTACACCTGGCCTGCCTCTCTCCTCTACACCTGGTTAAGCAGCGGTTGTACTGAATGGAATATGATAACGAGTGGTCCCAGGTTCGATCCCCTTACAGGACCAAACTATGGGTAATTTTCATTATGTCATTTGTGTCTGTCAACCCAGCAGTCATTAGGAACCTGGATGCTTATCGTTTTGTGTATTATATTTGGGGGTAATTTGGTTAGCCAGTGCAGCTGGCGAGTTGTCCGCTCTTATTCAACTATACCTTGGTACTGAGTTATACAGCTTGTTTGGTTAGGGTATGGTTCTTGTGTTGACGACAGCTTCTACACATTAAACAAAATCACACCTAAGTGGCCGTAGTAATTAACAGATACGTATGTACTCTCTCCGTCCGACCGTCCGAGCCTTGGTCCGTTTTGTGGTCAGTTGTACTCTATAGATATTTTATATTAAGGCTGAGAGTAAAAAAAAAGTAAGTAGGTATCTCTCTCTCTCTCTCTCTCTCTCTCTATACGATACCCCCCCCCTCCCCCTCCCACCTACCACGGGCCAGGCCAGCTGATGATGAGGCAGACGACACACGCCTCCTCTCCCTGGTTCATAACTTGCCACCAGTTCAGTTGGCTACAAGCCGCCGTCGGTGACGCACCATCCGCGCTCTCTCTCTCTTTTGGTCCCCTCACTGACCCCTCAGCACCGCACGCGCCGCCCCTCACGTCTTCCTCCGTCACTATCTCCACTTTGGACACCACAAACACAAAGTGGGGAAATCTAGAGTGGGAGGTACGGAGTGATGGGGTGAAGGCAGTGTGGAGTTACTTTAGTGAATCATAAGGTTAAAATAACTGTGGTTTGAAATATATTTGACTACATATAAATACTTGAAAAGTGCTAATTTTTTCTTCAAAATATATTTTCATTTGCCTTGAAGAAAGTTTTACAACAGTGAAAAAATAATAATTGTGTGTGTGAAAAGTAATGTGTTAGAAAATAATACACTTGACCTTCTAGAACGAGAGGTCATGAGGTTACCTGGAGGTCACTGAAAAAAGGTGATTTGTTGATAATAAAAGAAAGAAAGAAAAAAAAAACGAGATTTAGAATCAGTGTCTCCAAATGATGTTACTGTATCTCTGAATCTTTACTGCTAACGATAACACCGCCATCGTCGAAAACCCCGAGAAACTCCCACTAATATTACACGAATTTCTTCTCCCTCTTCCTCCCTTTCCCTTTCTGAAGAGCTACACCATCTACCCCTTTTCTCTAGGATCACACCTTCTCCTCCCTCCCTCTCCTCCCTCTCCTCCCTCTCCTCTCTCATGGATGTATTTTGCATAATCGTGAAAAGATTGATCGTAGTTTAAACTCTTTCTCACCTGGTTATAAACCCCTTGTGTTTAAGGTATAGGTGTGAGTAAGAGTAACCCGCCCCCTAACACCAATTCACCTTTAAACAACACCAGTATTTGCTTGCCTGCGGTGGTGTCATGCAGAGAAAACCTCACAAGATAAATCGACGGGTCTCTTCATAAGTAAATCTCTTCTTGAAAACTTAATGATTTTTTCTTATTTTTTTTTCTAATTCTTAGGGAAAACATAGTGACGAAGTGAAATAAATAGCTCGGCATAGTTATCGGAATATCGGGCTCTAGTTCGGTGTATCGGAATTATGCAGATATTGCAATTTTTGGGAACAGGATTCATAGGCGTGTTTTGAGAAGTCGACCACACTGATCTCAAGCCCCGAGGTGGAAGAAGACTAAAGTGTTTGATGAGAAAGATAAATATTACTTAAATAAAAATTACTAATAAATACTGTTATATTTCATTACAGTCAGAGATGGAAGAATATTATTACATCAGGAAGAAAGTATTAACATCTGCTAGAGAATATGTATCGGGAATATAATACAACATAATCCAAGAAATATACAACCATAGGACATCATAACTAGAACCTCTCTCGGCTGTGTGTGTGTATGTTAGTAAGACACATAATAAAGATCACATGGCAGCGATAAAGAATAAAGTATAGTGTCCAGTTTCCTCGTCTTTATTAAGTACTTCCCAGGAGCCTCGAGGTAATGACCAACAGGTACTTTAATTATACCTGTCGCTCTCACCTCCTAATGGGTATGTCACACACCGGTAATTAACTGGGGAAAAAATACACCCAAGAGTTTAAAAAAAAAGTAGAAAAGTGGAATTAAAAAAAAAACTAAATTCATTGCAAGTGGATTTGACATTTTATTCTTGTGGATTTGACTCCATTTGGTTCTTGGATTTGACACCATCGCTTGTGGTTTATTTGAGAAAAACTTCACATGAGATATTTGTAAATCTCCGAATACGGACTTGAACCATCGGTGAGGTTGGACTTGAAATCCCCAGGAACTGTTGTAGGACTTGAGATAATTGGAGGCGCGTGGGGCTGGACTTGCTACAACAGTAAGTGGCTGGTTGGTTGTCTACTGGGAGGGGAGCAATCGGCCTAATTAACTCCCAAGACTCACAGGTGCAGTTCCATGTAGTTAGTGTCGTCGATCTTCCCGCCCTCCTGGTTCTCGAGTAACGCCCGTTCGTAGCAGCGAGAAGAGGTGAATAAAACTCACGCCAGAGAGAAAAGAAAAGACAGAAAAAAAACAATTGAGAAGTTTAGTGTACGAGTTTTTATATGAACATTGAGAAGTTACAAACACATACACACACGCACGAATACCTCCCAGGTTATTGTGTGTCTCATCTAGGAGTCTCTCTCAAGGAGTGTGTGTGTACTACCTCTATCTCTATGAGCCATTCCTAGTTATAAACCCAAGCGAAACTCTCAAGAACCTTTGAACGTGTTTCTTCTCTCTCTCTCTCACTCGCTCACTCTCTTTTTTTTCTTTCTCTCTCTCTTTCTCTCTCTCCGGCTCTCTCTCAGGTTGCAATAAGTCTGGAATCTGAACCTCAGTCGTTGGGTCCAGAGAGGCTTTGGTGGGATCCAGAAGGAACGGTCGCCTGTAAGTTCTCAAGAAATTAGATCTTTATTTTTACAAGCGAACTTTTAAAAATTACAACTATTCTTTGGAAACTGCGAGGGAAAGATCTTATCGGAGTGATCTCGATTTAAAACTGCCGTTCATCTCCGTGTGTGTGATAGCTGAGGGAGGCGATAGTGGAGACTTTGTGGGTGAGAGAGTCATAGTAGCGAAGGTCAGATCAAGGGTTTTTTTCCCCAGGGTGAAGTAAGTGACGTATTGGGTGGTAATCTTCACTCCACCAAGTACCTCGAAGACGCATTTATACCCAAGGGTGTTTTTTTAACCAAAGGCTACACAAGTGAAGCTTTATATACTGTATACTGTTTATATGTTGTGTGTTTGGTTATATATGACGGGTAATGGGATAAAGTTATTGTGATCGTTCTGAAGTTCTCACAGTTAACCTGTACTCCTGTAAGATAAGTGAAATAATTGGATGAATATTCGGTGAAGACGAGGACGGTCCACGCTGGAAAAATCGAATTGATTCATAGTGCAGTTTCGCCGGAAAAAAAAATTAACACAGATTACAAGAACTTTGTAAGATAACGCGTTAAAGTTTATTGAAAATTCAAGTTGACCAGTGAAGGAATATAACACCGCTCGTGACCACCACCACCACCACAACATTATACTGAGCGTCGCATGAGAGAAAGGAAAAAACCCTCTCATACGATTATCCAATTAAGGTGCTGCTAAAACCTGGTGTGTAGTGTTAAAGTGTAAGACCCGCCTGTAGAGGGTTAAGAGGTGCCGTGGTTAGGAGCTCCCAGAATTAAGCTCCGGCCGTGAAGATCATCCACGCCACGAGCCTCTGATCCTAGAGAGTGTAGAAGAGGGAATACCCACCTGTAGGCGTTGATCTGAGGTAGTCAGTGCCCGTTCCTTCCATCACCTCACTCAGCCATGGCCAGAGTGAGCCCAGGACCCGTCTACGGTGGTGGTGAGGTGCTAGTGGTGATGATGCGCAAGATGACGGCACTGGTGATGACGATGGTGGTGGTGATGACGCTAGTGTGTCTCCCACAGACTCCAGTCACCGCCAGGGTTGAGGGTAAGTACCGTATAAATCACTTGTTGTCTTCACTCTACACCTTAACACGGTGTTCGCGGGTGTTTTGTTGTACACTTAAAGGTTCCCACACTAGGAGTAAATTACCCCATTTGGGTAATTTGACTTTTCCAGTGAGGTAATTGGGTATTGTGAAAAATGTAGGGAAGTACAGCGTGGCCAACTATTGTGGAGCAGCGCTAGAGATTTTCCTACAGCTTCCACGTGATAACAGAGAGCCAGAACAGGCTGGCTGTGTCGCTGACGTTACAGTGTCACTCCACCATCAGGCACCGGAATTGGTTGATTATTATTATGTTGTGTATGTGGTTTGTATTGTGGCACCACAGTCAACAATAATTATTATTTTAACTGTAAATACGCTTCCATTAAACTTATGATCTCAGTTGATGATTCAAGTAGTTATTTTAGAACAAGGTTAAGTGAGGTAATTATGAAGGCAACCAGGTGAAAGTGATGAAATAATTAAAAAATAAACGTTTGGAAACCAGTGGTGTAGATGGAGCCCTGTGTGTGTGTGTGTGTGTGTGTGTGTGTGTGTGTGTGTGTGTGTGTAAGTCCGTCCACAGATCAGACAATTTCCCTACAAAATGACTGGCTGGATTGCTGTTAAACTTTGCACCAGCCTTCACACACCTGCTGGGCCTGACGCGAGTTTTGACCAACATTTGAAATATTTAAGACGTAAAAAAAAAAATAAACGCCCAAAACAAATCGTCATCTTGAAAAATTTTTAAAGTATCATCTAGCGAGAGAACCCAAATTACTAACTATTTCTCGACAACTAAACTACATAATTGACGGGAAAGATGCAATTACCACACCTTGAAGTTATTTATTGCAGGAAAATGGTATAAACTTAAGAACAGTAAAATAGACAATCTCTTTACACTGTTTATCTGTACCGATCTCTCTGGCAATGTCCTCCTACGTCCTCCCTCATTCCTTTAACTGTCTCCACGTCCTCCACTCATTTGGTGTTTGTTTTTGTTTCTTCTTTGTCCTCCTACGTCATTTACTCATTTCCTTTAAAGCTGTCCTCTCTACGATATTTTATCATTCTTCTTTTGTCCTCTACGTTCATTCACTCATTTCTTTAACTGTGTCCTCCCCTGTCATTCCTCATTCCTCTGTTCTCCTACGTCATCACTCATTCCTCTTTGTGTCTCCCTACTTTTTGTTTTTTGTCCTCCTCATTTCATCTAACTGTCCTCTTTTCGTCATCCATTCGCTTATTGTCCTCTACGTCCTCCACTCATTCCTTTTTTTTTTTTTTGTAGCTTTGTCCTCCTACGTCATTTCTGTTCCTTTAACTGTCCTCCTACGTCATTTACTCATTCCTTTAACTGTCCTCTACGTCGTCCTCATTCTTCTTCTTGTCCTCGTAATTCCTCCCATTCCTTCTTTGTCATCCTACGTCATTTCACTCAACCAATACGTAACTT